TGAACTATACATCTGCAACGGCAGCACACTGAAAAAAACCTAGACTTGATGCAAAATGGCGTCTGAACATGTAAATTTAAATATCTTTCAAGAAATAACTGCATCTATTCTGCAGACAACACACAGCTGCGGCGTACACACATTTTTCACACTTCTCAGAGGCTAATATACAAGAAGCATCAGGCTGTAACATTCCTCAAATATAAGAATGCACAAATCCTGGTAAGTTCAATTATAATGAACACGAAACTGCAAATTTAAACGAGTAGAGAATGCGAGTTGGAAAGCAGTAAATGTAAGCTGAAGGAAAGACAGAGATGCAACTCCGAGCACTGTGTTCAGAGACTTAAAACATGTATGAGAGGTCTGACAGTGAAGGCAGAGCACCTTCCAGTTTCACAGAGAAAAGCAGAACGAGGTGTAAGATGCTGGAAGATGCTGCTGGGCAAACCTCCCTCAAAATATGAAATATTTTCCTAGCAGTGATGATAAATATTGGAACGTTTTCCAGGAGAAGTCATGAACTGCCACTTAAAAACACATGAAGGTACAGGGGTCTTTCATTTAGCTTCTGTGAGACCCATTACAGGTCACAACAGATGATTACAGACCTCCCCTCTACCCTGACCCTCCATGAATCTGTGAATTTTACAGCTTCATCCTGTGAGGCCAAGGCATTTTGGCTCCAAACCAGCAACGCACTTACGTGCACGCTGCAATGAAAGCTTGCTTCCTTTGCTGGAGCAGGGCCAGCGTGATCAACCTCTTCCAGGACAGGCCCAATGATCTTTAGCCATCTCAGCGTCTTGACCACTTTGGGGTTTCTTTGCTGCAGTAGCCATCAGAAGCTTATAACAGCAGGGGCTTGGAAATCTAAAACTTCAAATGCAGTGCGATACTTTTAATTCTTGCTTATCTTACATGTATTTCTCTGAAGTAAAAGGGCATGAAAATGCCAGGTTAGAGTTTTTATTATGGTTTCACTTGGCAGTAATTTAATTCAGATCAGGAAAGGCAAATCGAGGCAAGTTACTCTAGGAAGATGAGCAAATGTAAAACAATGCCCTTCTCCAAAGATAACCTTAATGTAATTACTCACTTGAAAAAAAGGATTAAATCAATACCTCATGGCTAGAAATACATGTATGCTGGAAGAACCTAACTTGAACCATTCGTAGTAGTAGACTGGAAGGGATGTGAGGCATTAGGTAGGTTCAAACATATATATGTACACACACAAACATTTGTATATATGTATTTCTATATACATTTTTATGAATTAGAGGCCAATTCAGCAACAAACAATCGAAATCCCATATGGCCTAATTGGAAATTATTTAATTAAATTATTATATTAAATTACCTAATGAAATTAATTAAAAACTTCTATCTTTCTTCCTTAAACTCAGCATGACATCCTTTGAAGCTGTCATTTACTTTCAGCTTTTAACAGTCAGCTAATTTCTGGTGATCCAAATCTCTTGCCAAAAAGAATTTCTTCAATGTATCCATAACATTTTCCTATCTTTTTTCTTCCCCTAGTACCTTACATAATTCAAAAGAGTATTTTGACTGTTCAAAATACTGCTTTTTTGTTGCTGGTGTGTTTTTTTTCCCCATTTTTGATTTTTTTTTCTTTTTTTTTTTTAAAGTGAGCTGATAACTGGTAGGTTATTATGCGTTTGCTTTACGTACAGCAAGAAATGTTTTGCACTTGATGAAATACAATGAGATATATTATGTATTTTCAAGGAAGAACAAAATTACGGCCTAGGAAATTCTGAGCTAAGCACATTTCTGAGATTTTGTAGTTGATTTAAGGTGATAGAAGTGAAAATAGATCTGCCTGAATTTACTTTTCAAAATGGAAAGAAATAAAATGTGCTTTAATTCACCTTTTAATACTTAGAACAGCATACGTGTGAAGCAACTGTTTTATCCATTTAAGTGGAAGAAGCAGAAGTGGGATAGAAATACATCCACCCTTTAAACACCAAGTCAGCGAAAGGCTTGAGAATGAGTAGGAAATGAACGTGTCTAGATTTTTGTCCATTTTTTTCCCAATGTTAGAAAAGATGTGCGTAGAAGATATCTCCAGTACTCACTCAGATTAGACATTAGGAAGAAATTCTTCACGGTGAGGGCGGTGAGACACAGGAACACGTTGCCCAGAGAAGCTGTGGCTGCCCCCTCCCTGGCAGTGTTCAAGGCCAGGCTGGATGGGGCTTGGAGCAACCTGGTCGAGCGGGAGGTGTCCCTGCCCATGGCAGGGGGGTTGGAACTAGGTGATCTTGAACGTCCCTTCCAACCCAAACCATTCTGTGATTCTATGATACAGAACAGCTTATGCTTCTCTCCTTAGTCCTGTCTACAAAGGAACTGTTGTCAAAACACTTAATAATTTACAAACCTGTCAGATTTGGTCTCTTGAGGCGGTGAAAGAGTTGTCCCATAACGAGAAGTGGGTGTTGTAGGGGCACTCACACCAGAGTAAGGTCGCGGAGAAGAGTAAGAGCTGCTGCCATAGCTATTGTATCTGAAGAAATGGGAAGGAAAGTAGGAGAAAGGGAGAGACAGAAAGAATCCATCAGCAAGCAGGCATGTGGCAATAAATCCTCTTCTTTAGGGGGCAGCAGTGATCCCATACCCCAGCACTTCTCCAACATCCACCTTCTGAAAATATTGCTCTAATCCCAGCTTCAACATTTTAATATCAATGATGTCGTGGACATACTTGATTCAAATAGTGAGCTATTGATATGGAAAATGAGAGACTAGAATGGTCCTCCCAAGTGACAACTCAGAGCAGGAACACTTAAATCACTGCTCAGTTACTCAAAATTATTAGCTGTTTTGGGAGCCGATACCCAGCCATTAGAGAAGGGATCAAACCAGTCCAAGTCATCAGTATTTGTATCCAGTGAAATTAAGGAAAAAAAAAAAAAGCAGCATTCCCGAGACACGATCTGAAAATGATTTCTGAATGTTCGCATTATAAATGGAAAGCATCCACATTTTTTTCAATTAAAGCAGGTGGTTTTTTCTTTCCCCTCTCTCAACATAAGTCATAGCTTATGTGCTATTACTTACAATGTCTGTAAAAAATCACCACCATGGTTAAAAAGACCTAGCTCCGGAAGCATGGCTTTAGAAATTTCTATCAGCCATTCCCCCTCTTAAAAAAAAAAAAAAAACCAAAAAAAAAACCCAACAAAAAACTGCTTGACTTCAATATGAGATTGCTGATCAAAGAAAAATTGTTTCCAGGACTCCTGGAATGGCCACCTCCCCAGAGTCCCTTGTATCAATGTTTCCATCCTGGCTCCTGCACTGAATAGAAAAGGCAGTTGGGTTGCTTTGCTGTGCCTTGTAACCATCATACTTAAACAGCTTGTCAAAGAGAGATTCCTGATTTGAGAAAATGTTAACATTTCTGTTCACAGACGATACCATTTTCCCACACAGAAAGCACATGATGCTCTGTAGCTGAGTACTCCACAAGGCCAACTCATCCAAATGACAAAACTGATTTCAGAAAAAAGGGAAACACCATTTTTCTTATTATAATTCATAAGATATACCTCCTTCACCATATCTTTTTTTCTGCTGCTTCTTCTCCCTCACACATCAGCACTCCGTAATTTCACTCAGCAATTTTATTTGAAGAGGCTGGATGGTTTCCTTCAGCTCCATTTAGCATACTCATCTAGCCACGCAAAATTTCCTTCAAAGTTTCAAGCTTCATTCTTTAGGGTACAACAGCCTTGCTGCCTGCCAAGGCCCGTGTTAACATCAGAAGAGATTTCAGTTAGGGGTTTGTATAATGGTAGGGATAGTGCTTTAGAGAACATGCCCCCTTTGGCAACAATTCCAGGTTTATGTTTTAGAAAACACCCCACCACCATCACCTATTTTTGAGACACCATGCCCAGGAACAGGGGACTAATTTTGGAAAACATGCTAACATGCACATTTCTGAGCTACCAAAGGAATTTTGCAGGAAATAATTGCCTTCCTGGCACACCTACCCTAAAAGAAAACTAACTAGAAACTGAAAACTGAAGACAGCGGCCTGGTGGAGGGCTGTGTAGCTGTACAATGCGGGGCCTCCCTGGTAGCACAGACCTGGTATGGCTCTTCTCTCCAGCAGGCTCAGCTCAGAAAATGTTCTGCACGTGCCTGTACTGAGCAAGCAATGAGAAAAGTCTGTTGTCTCGAGAACAACTCAGAGCTCATCTGTGGTGTTCCTAACACTCACAGAAACCTCTGTTTCCATTTCAATCAACTGAAAGACTTTCTTATCAACCATTTGTTTTCTTCTCCTTTGCCCCATGAAAAAGCTGACACAGCACAGAATCCTTTTTTCAGACCAACAAATTTCAATTAGTCCAATGATAACTCTCAATAAAATGGAGAGAATACACCTTCTATGGACTCAGACCTACAAGTTTTAACAAAATCAAATTCAGAGGGACTGGCCTAGATACAGCATTCCTATATATCAAATTTAGAGGGAGAGAGAGATGCTGGAACAGTAGCAAGGCAAAACTGGCAGATCAGGTTAAGTCTGCATCTTGTACACAATGTTTATTTTTCTAACCTTCCCCTGGCAGTAGCTATTACTTCCATTTTCCTTTCTTGTCTCATATACAAATGCAACGGCCTTGTCCCAGGAGCCTTGGCTCTGAAGAAACCCCAGATGTTTACCTCTTTTATGAACACATTACTGCCCAAATTGTACAAACTTTGCCTTTCTTTTTCTCCAAATAAACCCAGCACAATCCTCCCCCACACCACGCACTTGATCCTACGTGGTAACTAGAAGCACAAGGATGGTCAGCGGGGAAAAAAAAAAAAAATCACTGCAGAAATACTAAATATTGCAGGAACAAGAGGTATTCCAGAAAGAGGAGGTATTTAGGAACCTAGTCTCTAAAAAAGTATAACTCTAGTAGCACCAACAATGAGAGAGCAATAAATGAGCGTGAGAGGCCTAAGGAAAAATTGCACCTATGCAGGAAAATGAAAATTTAGAGGAATTTCAGTGTTCAAGCTGCAGGTAAGGACAGACCTTGGAACTAAGTGCCTTGTCAACAGCCACTTGGGTTTACAGGCTTTTCAGTGAAACAAAAAAGCGACAAAAAACACCCACCTAAGTGAAAGATTGAAAATTAAAAGGATCAAATCTATCAAAATATTTGTTCACATGCAGAAGTTCAGAAGGACTGCTGGAAAAAGGAAGAAATAAATATGCTCACAATACAGGTGTACGTTTTCAGCACCTAATTCAAAGAACACTGACCACTGGGAGAGACAGCTAAAAATCAACCTCTTTTCAAGGTGATTTTCTAGCACTGGTTTTAGTGTTACCTATTGTCAATCTGTTTTACTTGAAAACAGATTGAGACAAAACAATTTGTTGTTGTTTTTAAATGGGTGGGATGGGGAAATTAAAAATTAAAATTAAAAACTAAGAGAAATGCATGAGGAAGAACTGAACAGAGCAGATGTTGTGGAGGAAAAACTGTCTCTTCTGAGTGCTATATTCTCTTTATAGGGTTTAATCTACTTCTCTTATTACAAGCACAAGTTGAAATTGCACATCACAGGGACATGCACCTTAATCTAACAACAAATGCAGGATTTGGCAGTTCAGTCTTTGAAGCCAGGATTTTACCCCTGAGTTCCACGTGCTCATCTGATCTCTCCTGGTTTTATAGCAGAAGAGCTCCATTAATTTTCATGAAATCATGTCTGCAAATTACATTGTTGTAAATGAGAGCAAAATGGAGCTCCTTTCTATGATTTCCCAAATCACAGATTATTTATCTACTGCTGTATAGAGGAGGCCAGGATACTTATTAACTTATTAAGACCTTGACGAGGAGCAAGATGAAATGAGAACAACAAAGGCAAGGGGAGAATATCAATCAAATCAAAATACAGGCTTACAGCACTAAAACTAATACAGTATGTTCCGGCAGTAATAGAACACAGAGAGTACATTGTTACCACCATAAAACTCTTGAAAGGTGTTATTAATTTATCTAAAAATTAATGTCAGCTGTACAAAATCTACCTGTTTTCCCTCATCACTTCTGCTTCCTTTTCTTTCACAGATGCTGGAGACTCTTCAAAGTCATACGAGAAGAGGTGAAAAGGAGTATGTGGTACATAAGGTAATTTCTCCACCGTTGGAGATGCCTTTGGAGTAATGGATGCTGATGAATTTTGGGAAGAGCTTAGCAACGCTGCTGCAGGTGAAGATGGTGATGAAAGGACAGAATTATGATGAGAGACAGATGAGTCAGGCACAGAAGAGCTGCTAGAAGAGCTCTTTGCTCTAGAGGAGGAGAGAGGCCTCTCAGCTGGAGAAATGGCGTTGGAGATGGCTGAAGAATCAGAACACCGTGAAAGGTTTTCATTCACAGCCTCCCACGCACTTGGAACCCCACTGCAGGAGGAAAACATCATGAGGAAGGGAAGGGAAGGGAAGGAGAGAAAAACAGGGAAAAGAGATCAATAGATAGTACCGCTTGCAGGAAAAAATATAAAGTCAAGGAGAGTCAGACAATGAAAAACTTCCCAAATTTAGACAATCATAATATCTTTTAAAATAAAATAAGAGAACTCACATCTTTGTACCCCAGTGGGATTCTTCTTGGGGCTGGAAATAGTGAGGAATGGAAGCAACTCTGCTTAAAGGAAAGGAAGGGATTTAACCCACAGGCTTCAGAACTAATTTGCCTGAACCTTTCACAACCACTTTCTGAACAATTTTCAAGTATCTGAAGCTAGGTTGTAAGCATTGTCAGAGCAGTACAAAGCAGTCTCAACACTGGATAACATGGTCCACAGAGTATAGATGCTTCAAGACACAATCTGCATGACTGCCTCTTGAAGGCCAGATATCTGATTATCATCTTCCCTTGTGATCTCATCTTTTTACTAAGAACACTCACCCAACAAATACAAAAATAAAAAATACTCAATCAGCACCGTTCTGTCAAAATTAAGGTTTAGAATTATTTCAAAAGTAATGCTGTACCAGATCATTTGTCTAGGTATGAAGGCACTAATTTCCCTCGTCAGCATCCCATGTTGGTGTTAGAGACCTGCAGAGGCGCATGAAGCACAACGGAAAACACATCTGCTTTGCTTTAGTGAAGTGACAGAAGCAGCAAGGCAGGTGAAAAGCCATAGGATCTACACTCTGATATCTGTTTTCCTAGTACCTCCAGCATAAACACCGTACATGGGCTTTGGGCTTGATCACTTGGCAGGTGGCTGATTTCACTCTCCTGAGACCACCTCTGCAATACACCTACAGGCATGCAAGCATGGCCCTTATCTGAGGAGTGTGGGTTTGGCACTGTGTATGCAACAAAACCCTAATGCCTGTTATATGTTAGGATATTATGAAGTTAATCATCAGGTATATACCAGGTAATTATTCTCACAACAGAAGCACAGTGGGCAATCTGGAAACATTCATCTATTGCACCAGCTGTGCATGACAGGAGTCACTGAAGCCAGGCTAGTCCTACGTGTCCTGACAGCATCTAACATGAACGGCCAGGGTACAAACCATTTTTGTTACGCTACACTGACAGTGAAAGGAGGTATTTAGAAAAGTCATGGGAATATCACCCAGTTATCTCAAAGTAACTATTATTTTAAAAGATCGATAACCTAAAAGCACATCATGCCCTTTACATGGCTCTTCCTTGTTTTTTTCAGTATTTTATTTCAGTATACTCATGCGATTTACTAATAACTTATGTCTTAGCTTTGACTTTTAAGAATTGGATTTGAGGAAATTATCACTTAATTTTGAAATTTCAGGCAGCCATTGGCAAGATTTGCAAGACTGGAAGATATTAATAACAACAGTACAGTATTTTCTTTGGAGTTCGCACATTAAACAGTTTCCTTTTTTCCTCCTGTGCTGTACGATGTCTGCATGAATGTGGTTGATTTAAAAAAAACCAAAATCCAATCTCATTTGCCGAGCTGCAAAGCCAAACAATTTAACCTAAATCAAATGGCTGTCTGGAAGAACGAACATATTTTCTTTCTTCCAATTTACTAGGATAAAGTTTCCAGATGCCAAATCCATATATACCTCAGAAATAAGTGGAAAATTTTACAGGAGAATATTGTTTTGATAGGTGGTTTGTTTATATCCGTATATACACAGATGGGCAGGTATGTATAAAATGATATATATCTATATCTATCAGCTTTGCCTTGAAGTAGTTCTTTCCTATTAAAACATGAACAAAATTGATAGAAATCAGAGGCAGCATTCAAAAAATGTCAATCTTCTTCATAGGGACAGATATTGCCATTAAGATTGTATCACCTAAGAAACGAAGCAACATCGCCAACAAAGCACTGCAATGTTTCACCATCGCCTTAACTAAAAAGATAAACCTAAGCCATGCTTAGAAGTTATGCTTTCTGCTAAATCTTTTAAGATTTGTGAGCATTACTCATTTTGTACAAAGGGAGTGAGTGCAGACAGTTCTTAGTGCACTGAGCCTATATAATTAAACATGTTTCCATTGACACACACACCACAAAGCTTTTAATTGCAAAAAGAATTCCTCAGGAGCGTGGATTTAACAGGTGATCTAGGAATGCGAGTGAAGAGGTAGATGCTGCTGCACACTGTGCTGGTGAGCTCATGCCAGAGCCTGAGGAAAAGGTGGAGGGACGATTCTAAATCCCGGTACCTGGCTTTGACCTGCCTACTGGCCTCTTCCTCCCCCTCATCCTCAGTATTTGGCTCTGTGACTGGCTGTTCTTCTTCCTCCTCTTCATACTCTTCCTCCTCTCTGAGGTCAGACCAAGGAAAGAGGCATGCAGTGCGATGGAAAGAGAGAAGGTGGAAGAGAAAACGACATGAGTCCCCAGAAAAAGAAATGCAATGAAGTTAGAAATGGAAGGAAAACACTGAGGGGGAGTTATGGCCCCTCTACGTTAGTCAGAAAAACACCGAAAACTTCTCACTAAGTATGTGTTGGTGCAAGAGTAGCTACCAATACAAACATTTTATCTCGCCCCTCTTTAAATTTCTTACTATTAATTTTTATGACCCCAAAGATGCCATTATTTTTTCTCGAGCTTGGCTTTCCATTTGCTGATGCCCTATCTGCAGAGGCATTAATGGAAAACACTCATGACAATATCAATGTTCAACTCATTAGTTATTAAGCTGTGCCTGATTGATTTAAAGGACAGTACACGCTGTGCTGGCATGGGACAGCTGGCACTGGACATCACACTTTCTAAATTAACACAAATAAAACATTCCTGTTAAGCAACCGATAGCTCAACTGGAAAAGAGAACAGGGAGAACCATTAAGTTAGAAATAACAGAGAGACCAAATCAGTTCAGGACTATTTGCAAATAGCAATATTTAAGTTATTGAATGCCAGTACATGAATTATTTCAGTAAAGAGTCATCACTATGGTCAAAGCAGGCTTCAGTTCAGCAGCAATTCTGGCAGAGGACAATTGTAAGTCACGCATAAAGCCTCCATAACAGAGAGACCGTGTAAGTAAAATAGAAAACTATATTAAATAAAACAAAAAGGGCTACATTGCCTGCCTTCTCTCCCTCTCATTTATGCTTTTTCCTCCCCAAGCAGACTCATGGAAGATTTAGAAAGTATTCTCTCTTTGGACTTCCTTTGCACTTACAGTTGATCCAGTTCTCCACTTGATTTAACAGTGTATACCATTAGGTTATGCTCCATGCAGAAAATAAAACATACAAACAGTAATAAAGTTTGTAAGACATTCATATTCTTTGCATTTCCCCGAAAGCTGTTTTTCTTTTCTCAAATTCTGAAGGGATGCTCTGTGCATTTTTTTCCATTTAGAATTAGTTTCTATGTCATGAGAATAATGAATATTTACACATGTGAGATCATGAAATCATCAAGTGCGATGCAAAGGGTCAACCCAACATTTGTTGCATTTGTATGGAGTTAGTTATAGAATAACCAGGAAAATGGCAGCACCTGGAACTTTTCCAATACTCTGGCAAACATCTATAAGGTAAACACTTTCAACCATTCCTAAGGTATCGTAGTGACATGTAGTAGTCATCTCTCCATCTCCCCGTCCTCTCCACAAACAGAAACACCTCACAACTTCCACACATAAATATATCATTATACCAGAAAAAAAGAAAAGGAGTTGACCAGGGAGTATTCATATCGCCCCTTCTCCCTTCTAGCAAGCAGCTCAATACTAGCTTTACTATAATCTCCTGTCAAGGGCAAACGTCTGCATCTGCCAGTCCTACAACAATCACAGTTGGGAAATAACTCATGAAGCTCTGTGGGATCACGTTTCTCTGATAAGAGCACAATGCATCCTATAATGCTGATAGCACAGCTATTGCTTATATGAACAGGAGAAGTCCCGTCATTACTGTGTTTTAAGCTCCCACAAGGTTTCCAGATAGATGGTGTCAAATTCCTTATTCTCCTCAACTATCTCAAAGTGCCCAAATTTGTAAGTGAAATACTCATCTGATACGGTGGATCTCATAAATTTGAAAGGGTTCTCATTCACACGAGTGTATGGTAGTAAGGACAGGAGTTTAGACAATATGGGTTGAACTGGGACCCACTGGGTTATAATTGCACTGAACAGAAAGAGAAACTGAAAAGAAAAAGGCATCCAGAACCGAGAGGGTTATCTCATGTTTAAGGACCACTTCTTAACACAGAATCATCAGGTGCCAAACACTTGCCAGGTGAGCAATAAGTCCTGGATATTCTCCTTGAGGTCTTGCCATCCTATTTTTACATCTTGTGTTTATAACCCTGAACCTACAGCCTGAAGTCTTGATATCAAGTCTTTTAGATACAGCAGTGAATGCTGTTCCCTTGCCCACCATTCAGAGTTTTTATAACCACAATTTATCAGATCAGGATATTTAATTGGTATGAAAGGCCTGAATCTACTCTTACAGTACAGACTATTTCCTAGAGTCAGCTGAAGTTTGTAACTAAACAGGGACTTATTATCCTAAAATTAGGCACCCGTTTTTGACAATGCTGAGCTTCCGTGTAGAAACTGTACAACAGTCAAGTAAACCACATATTAAATACTACAGGTGAGCAGAATCAATTAATACAGTCCTCTGGGCTTCTTCCTGCTATGCAAAGTATTGTTCTAATCCATTATTGGGAAAATCTGATTCCCATATAACTCACTCATAAATATGAAACCACCCTAAATTAAGCCTATATAATAGCCTTCATAAAACTAGGGTATATTACCAGTCCCTCACAAAAAAATTACTGCACCTTACCCTGGAAGGACTAGCTGTCTGCAAAAAAATCCTGAAAATCAAGCAGCTTTTAGAATTACAACAGAAATGTCCATATAAGCTCAGGTTAACAGTTGAAAAACATATCAGGAAATGGCACTGTGATATCTTAATTTCCAGAGCCATCAATGACACACTTTCCATAAGCACTAGCATTTACTTACAAGCATGATTAAAACAGGAATAGCTCTTCAGAATATAAGATAGCTATGCTTAAAAGACCTTAGCTTTTTACATACATGCTTCTTTCTGGTAAGCTGTGCAACATCTGAGAAGCCTCCTTCTCAGATGGTATGACTTGCTGTACTCTAAAGGAGATCAAGAGTAACAGCCCCTTAATTCATATATTATTTGAGAATATCACATTTCAAAAGAACTATGCATGTTCAGTACCCTGTGTGGCACACTTACTCTTACAGTTTATAATCAGACATTGACACATCCCTAATGAGCACTTTATCCAAGCTGAATATTTTGTTGGAAGTTAATCTCTTGCTGATTTTTGCACATATATCTGAACTGTGGATAATAACAAAGAAAACCCAATTAACTGGGTGGGCCCTAAGAAGTGTTCATATGCGAATCATACACACCCCCCTTCCATCCGCTCAGAGCCCATGGAGTACAGCAAGCACGTGTTACACACCCATTAGAGCGACCAGCTTGCTGGACTGGCACTTCCAAGGCTGCCGACAGCGGACAGAAGTGCCTGCTCCACAAGAGTCAGCTGCTGAGATTTGAGATGGCAAAAATAAAATGAGGTTTTTTTACTCCTGACCCAAAAAGAAGACCTCTATAATCACCTGACTCAGCTTTTCTTATGAGAGAGGCTGGAAGTTAACTGACATTTTCACTTCCCTCCAGCTGTCTAGGAACAATGAAGTCGCTCTGTGGGCCCATTATCATACCTTAACTGGTGGATTAATTTTAGAGATTCCAGTGAGATCATTCTTCTGTCAGGCCAAGGACTTTTTCCCCAACGCTCCTCGACTACCAGATCAAAAGCTTAGAAGAAGCTTTGATTGGAAAGCTCTTTTCCTCTGCTAATGTTAACTCTAGGAGGACAGCAGGTACATGGCAACCGGTTGGAAAAGCCAGAGGAAGGAGCTGGCTCTGTGTGCGGTGTTCTGCACAGAGGCAGACATGCTCCCCAGCCTGGGGGAGGGAATTTGGTGGAGGGAAACTTGCACAATGGAAGTAAGTGCGTGATTAGTAGAGATGCTCAAGGCTTGCAAAGTCCTCTTTCAGCAACTAAACTCACAGTTTCAGACCCCTGGACTATCTCCAGAAAGTGGATCAGATTCAGATCAGAGGAGAGGGATAAGCTCACAGGCAGGTTATCAAAAGTGCTGTCCTTTCAAAAAGCAATAGTGGCAGTTGTTTCTCAGTATTGTTAGAGAACAGATATTCTATCCATGAAAACGGGTAGCACCTGCTAGCTAAATCTTCCCTAAAAGGCAGAAAAACAAAATTTCAACTTGAATATTTATTAAAATGGGAAAGCATCAACTACAGACAGATGACATTCTTGTAAAGCTAAGAACATCAGACAGTCAGATGCTCAAACAGAAGGGCAGACAGATTTGTAAATTCAGCTGGACCCTTCAGGATTATGTGCAATGGAGAAGGGATGATGTGGAAAAGCTCACTTCCCTCCCACATAAGCACGCAAATTTGGTGTCAACACAATAGCAGAATTAAATTAAGAAAAATGATTCATAGGGAAGATTTCAATTAAACCAGGTAGCAGAAGCCAGCAGGTTTTTCAGTAGCACAGAGGAATCCTGTTCAACAACAGAGAAATATTGATCCTGCAGCAGGGAGGAAGGTCTTCAGCTGATGCTGAAGAATCAGATATATTCAGTTAACCTTAAGGCTATTGCTGGGTTACTTCAGTTCCATGATAACAGTGCCAGACTAGATGTATTCAAACAAAAGCTTTAGAGCAGTGAAAATGAGTTTCAAAACAATCACTGTGTTTATTTTCATCTTTAAAATGGATTACTGCTACAGGCTAACACTCTCACCACACAAACAAATAGACAAACACCCAAACCCCCACAAATCTTTATAAAATATATCATCAGTCACGGTAACTACCAAGCATCTACCAGGGCAGAGGTTTTGCTCAGTTGTTTCAACTGAAGTTTGACATGGAAGTATTTATAGCACCTTAAAATATGTGCATGTTTAAAAAGACTATGAAAGTCTTTATGGATAGAGAATCACTAGGGTATCAAAATGAAATCTAGACAAAGGCTTTAGAACTAATGGATTAACCTTTCTCCCTTTTTAAATTAATAAATAAATAAAGAGAGTGCCGATCAAACTTGTCTTGCTGATATTAAACAGATACTCTAAGCTGCAGATGCAACACTAACACAGACTGATGAAAGGAAATGATAATCAAGGGACTCATCTACAAGTTTAGCTGAAGGCAGGGGCGAAGTCTGTAAGACGCTGGGCACCACACCTAACACACACCT